TTTTGTTTTCTTATTATTGCTTCATTATTTTTTTTAAAAGACCAATTGAATAGTTGGGTTATATTTATAATATTATCATGTTTAATTTTAGGATTTTTTAAAGAATCGATTAGTAATTTTTTAAGAAATGTTATAAATTACAATAAATAAATAAATATCACAGTATAGTTTTGGATATTGTATTGATTTATTCACAGGAACTTGTTGACAGAAATTTACATATAATAGCCAATTTTGTCTTTATTTAAAATAAATTTTAAATAAACATATTATAATAATTATATACATCATAATAGAATTTTCATAATCTTTCAAAATTGTTAATAGCAAAATCATTATCAAACAGAAAACAATAGTATACATCTTTTCGTCTTTTCTTTCCTATAATTATAAAAAAATTTATAACAATTATTAAAATTATTATTTTTAAAATAAAGATTAAATACCATTATTTGATCTTTTCTTTCTATCATATCTTTAAAGAATGTTCTTTCTTGTTCACATTCTTTTTTCTCTTCTCTTCTTTTCTGTCTTTTTTTTTTTTCTTTGTATTTTTCATAGTCTTGGGTAAAAGATATTTGATCACTTTGTTCGGAATCGCTGATTTGTTCTTCTCTACAAACAAACGAATGATTAATTCAAATATTATCATGTGTTAATATGAAATTCAGTAATTACATTTTTAATTCATGCAACTGTGTTTGGGAAATTCGGCTCATTTTTTTATGGCAAATATCAATTTGATAGAATGAATTTAGATTTGGTAGCATGTAGCAGTTCACTTTTAATAAAAGTTATGATTATTACTGGTTAATTTATATTATTTTATAATAAAAATATTTTTTCGCGTTTTCACGATATTTAAATTTGGCAATCAAATTACTTTAAAATAAATAAAATGAAAATGAATTTAGACTTGAGAATGAATTGATTTTGGTAATCAAAAATTTTACTTTTTGAGTAGGATCTGAATATTAGTAAATAACGATGTAAATATGAACACGTATGAATGCGTAAATTTTGATATGTGATAAAAAATTATATAAATACATTTTTTTTGTCTGGGTAAAACTAAAATGGCAAACAATTATAGATTCCACCAAATCATGGCAACCGTATTCTATTGCATTCCTTGTATAAATTCCTTCAAATGTAAAAAAAGCCTTACTAAAAAAGATAAAAAAAGTCGTGAAGACATTTTTGCTCAAACTGGTGAAGCTCCGTTATGTGCAAACTGTCAGAAGAATCATTGGCGCTGCAAAAATGCGGCATGTATAAATTGCTGTAAGTTACATAAATGCAACGATTTTGTGTAAATCTCTTGGTATTGAATACAAATGTGTTCTACTACACACTGAAGCGGAATATAAAGAATTAGAAGCAAAAGGTCTTACTTACTCATCTGGTCAGCCAGAACCAACAGAGAAAGGTCAGTTTCACGAACAATATTTTTTTAATTCAAAAATCGGCAAACAGTGAAGTCTGTTAAATCTTTATTTGAACATTATTCTATGAGTTTTCCAAAACGTTTAAATGGTGATTCAGAACAAAATCGTGATTATAGTATAAAGCCATGGAATCACTGTAAGGATCCCCTTCATGTTAAAGATTGTTGTTGTGATTTTATGGATCGAAGCAAGATTTGTAATGTATGCACGGTTGATGATGGCGTTGAATTAGGTCCATGGGAATTTGGTTCATATCGATTTCTTTCTTCTCAAAATGAATTTCTTGAAGAAGATGAAATTAAAAACCGTCATTTAGAAGATATGGATCATGTTAATCGAATCATTGAAGAGGGTATTTCTATACGCGAGATATTGGAAGATATTAAAACATTATATCCACGATATTGGCTTCGATCTTTGCAAGATCTTTTTTTTTCTTGAAGAAAAAAAAGAACATCTTTTAACTGAAAAGCTTAAAAAATTTTGGAGACCAGTTACATTTTACATTTATGATGAGGGTGGAGCAGGAAAGTCTGGGCTGGTTTCTGAATTATTTTCTAATGAATATTATGCTAAACCTAAAAAACAAAAATCAGGATCTAACTGGTAGGACGGATATAAGAGACATGAGATAGTTTTTTTTGATGAATGGTATACATCAATGGATTGGAATGATATTGTAAAATATTTGAACGATACTCCAGAGAATTTTGAGCAAAAAGGCAAGACATTTGTGCCTTTTCTTGCCAAATATGTCTTTATGACATCTCACAAACCACCAGAAGAAGCTTTTAATTTTTGAAGGCATAATATAAATGAAGAGATGTCAACTCAACGTGATTGGGGTCAATTTTATCAACGTCTTGATTATGTTATCGAATTTAAGGGTATTTGGCATGATGAGATAGATCTTCGTACTACTGAGTTAATTTTTCATAAAGGTTCAGAGGAAGAATTTTGAAACATGACATGGGATATAAAATATCGTAAAGGTGAATTTATATCTGATGAACTAAAGGTTGTGGTGCAGGAATTGAACAAAAATCAAGATGGTGAAGTGATCATTAAAGCTGACAATCAGGTTTACTGGCGTTGCCACTTTCCCGAATTCAAGAAAAACTATCTACGCGATTATCCTAGATCTCATGAGCTTTCTGATTACAAACAGGAGCTTTTACAACAATCGCAATTAGTTTTATCTTCAACTATACTAGGAAAAAGATCTCAAGAACATATATCTGAATCTGAAACTGAATCATATTTTGATGATGATTCTGACTATAGCCGTCAACAGTGATGGCCGAATCTAGCACTACTGCCGCAAAAAGAAAACCTAACAAGCGATTGAAGCGTCGAATCGAAAAATTTATAAACGATTCAGATCATGATGATGTAAATATATCAAATTCTTGTATGATACTTGATGATAATTATTTTGTTTAAAAACCTGTAGAGGTTATAGAAATGACCGATGAGTATGCTAGTAGTCAAGGTCGATCATTTTTAACACGACAAGAAATTATAGAAAAGCAAAATAAAGAAAGCCATCATCTCAATGAGGAGAATGCGAATATTTAGTTAATTAATATATATAAAGCCTTGTTTTCTGTTTAAAAAAATAAACATGTTCTGATCAATCAGGTTCATTTTTATAGTTAATATCAATTTGGTAGAATTTGATGAAATGTAGCAGTTAATTTCTTGATTTAGTTTGTTGATAATTATCTAGTTTAAATTAAATCAAATCTATGCTAATTTTTACTTTTTAATTAATACCAGTAATAATTGTTAAATTTCGAACTTGCTTAATTTTAAATATCCTTTGTGTGAAAAAGATGTTTTTCGAGCCCTGGCTAATAAAGGACGTTTTGCTTAAATAGTTTAAGTATCTTTTTTAGAGGGTATTTTTGGCATTGGGCAAGCTATTTTTAACTAAATAAAATAGAAAATTGCATTTATATATATTTATTTGCACTAAAATCTAATTGCATAATATGTATATAAATAATATTTATTTGAAAATATATTACTTTTTAATTTAAAATGGATGTTCAAATTGTCATCAAAGAAAATAAAACTGATGTTCCTAAAAAACCAGTTCGAATGTGAAAATTAACAGCCAATACCTGTTCTCTAAAAAAAAATTTGTCAGCTAGGTTCTTGTGGTGATGAAAAAGGTTATAACTTGTACCGTGCCCAACACCCTCGCGACATGGCTATTGATCAAATTTCATTTTTTCTGACCAAGGAAGGTCATAAGATTCTTGATCAGTGATTCTATTTATATACTCTTTTGCAGAATCCTGAGCAGCTTGAGTATCTTGAACTTTGTGATGTATCTATTCAATTCAGGCTTGTGACATTTCACTCGTCTAATGCTGCGGCTGATAGTTTACCCATACATGTAAATCATAAAGAATTTCAGGTGCGAGCTTTGCTTGGTCTATTAAGAATGTATTTTTATCTTGTTCGCTTATGTAATGCACATTTGGCCACGAAAAAGGAGCTCAAGATAGATGATGTTCTTTTGGATCCTAAAAATATCAGAGGATCACAAGCTTTCGAGGAATTTCGAAAATTTGATAGAGTATCATGTGACATTAGATTGCAACTCTGTTTGTGCATTACAAGATCATGTTATCACGATGTGTCAGCCATTCAAGAAAGATGAAAAGCAGATATGTTTGACTAGCAATGAGAACAATACTCCTATCTATGATACTGGCAATTATCATTTCTTGATTTTGATCAATTATCTCGATTGGATGTATCAGTTGCGTGTGGCCGATGAATGAGAAGATGCGATTTCATTTGGCCATACTATAGATAACATTAGTGGTGATTCTAGCGTGCCAGCATTTTTTTCTGGCAGTGCGATAGAGATTTCTTATGTTCCAGATGTTTCTTCCTATCATTCGATAGGTGCCATATCGGATATTATCACTAACCAGGTTATACGCAAAGTTCAAGAGGCCACTAATACCAATTAAGAATTTTTTTAAATGGTATTTAAAGGATGTTCGTTCATATTTCAGTAATCTATTTTTTTTTAAGATCATGTCAAAGATAAATGTCCAAGCCTATTATCGTATTCTAAAAGTGAAAAGAACTTCGAGTATTGATGATATTAAGCGATCATACAAAAAACTTGTGTTTAGGGTTCATCCTGATAAGGATCGGAGCAAACAAGCTCATGAGAATTTTTGTAGGCTAGTCGAAGCCTACACGTATCTTCTGGATCATCATGTGCAACAAAAATCATCTGCTAAAAAATCAAATAATAAACCTAAAAATAGTAATCAAAAAAATACTCGAAAAGGGAAAAAGATACTTCAAAAAAGAAAAATGAAGAAGAGTGTTGATCCTGATAAAGTCACTGATGAGTTCCAGAGAAAGTTACAAAAGATCATCACGGAGTATGTGAAAAATATAGCTTTTTCCCCCAAATAGTTTATTCTATTTGGAACGGTAGATGATTGATTCCAGTTAAAATTAGTTAAAAAATCATATTAAGTATTTATATCATCAAAAACTTAAATTTCGATTTTAAAAAAAAAATGCCAAAAGAAAAATCTTCCTTTATTAATTATACTGATAATGAGCCATATACTAAACAAAAGAAAAAAAAATACAAAAAACTTTATAATGAGACTATTGAAGAAAAAGAGAAGCTTGAAGATATCATCAAAAAATTAAAAAAAGAAAAAGAAATTCTTGATGAGATTTTCTTCAAGGCATCACAACATTTTAACGATGAATGAACAAATTTTTTAAATGTCAACTATCCCGAGAGTGAAGAAGTTTGCGAAAAAGAAAATGAAATTGAAGAAGAAGAAATCAGAAATGTCATCAATTCATTGCTACAAAAAAATGAAATTGAAGAAGAAGAAATCGGAAATGTCATCGATCCGATATTTAATGATTATGATTTCTTTCTTCAAGATGATAGTTATAATAATTTTATTTTTTATAATAAGAATCAACATAAAAGATTTAACGTTGTTAATGAAGAGTTTTGCGTTCTTAACGAAACTATAATAGATAATTATGTTCACACCAATAATATTTAAATGTCTCATGTTCATCCTTTTTAACTCATATTATAATTTAAATCTATTTTGTAAAGTTTATTTATTATAAATAAAAAATATATTTAACTTTTAACTAAAGAAGGGTTATGTTTGAATTTTTGGTCGTTGTTTTGGTCGGTCATTATCATCCTCATTTTCGCGTTGATGACCTTTACCTGCTACTGGTTCTGGAAGTCCTGGCGGCAGTCCCGAACCTGGAGGGTAATAGTGTTTGATCCATTGCACGAATAGCATTGCTAAATATCGTGATGTTTTTGTCTGGTACATGAAAAATGCATCATCACAGAATCGATTTTGAATATACGTGTCCCAGTGGTAATAAATTGTTTTTGCGCTCTCTATGGTGTTGGCTCTTGTAAAATCGCTATGCATTTTTATAAACGCTTGTCGTATTTCGTTTAATCTATTTATCACGATATCTGTTTCATCGTTAACTGGAACAATATTGTATGTCTCTTTTACATCTTCCATATATTCATATTCTATATATGGGTCAGTCAGAATCTTTTCCAGCATCTTTTTGAAGTATAGCATTTGCCGGTAAACATGTGTCATGTGTTGATAATTTGGCAATTGTTCCCAATTGATTTTAAATTCGTTCGTGTTCGGATTATCGATAACTTCAAACCAGAAAGCATCATCTTTTAGATTTTTTATGACTTTTTCATCGTTCATTTCATGAACAAGTCTTAACCATTCAGTCCAACTGTTTTTTAGGTCTAAGTTCATTTGGTTAGTATCCGGGCCGTGAATTATAATTTCTTCCATCTCGGCAATGGTATCGAATTGAGGCAACTCAATATCATA